AAAGGAAAGAATCCATGCAAATATAATATTTTCTTCTTTGCAGTATTGTGAATAAGAAAACTCTTTATTCTGTCTGATTTCATTTACTCCTGATTGATAGTTTACCACTGTCAGTGAATCTTACGGTGTAACAACTCACACTGAATCCAATATAACGAAGCATCACGTATTTGGTATAACGTCATGCCATGAATACGATAGATCGATGCCTCATGGATTTGGTGTAATGACATTCTCTGAATACAGTGAAACGACATACCCCTAATATGAGAAAATGAATAACACTGTATCGAAGATCTGATGATAACTCCCTGCATCAACTGCTTATAAATGTCGAATTTAGAACACGACTTTCTCCGGATTCTTGAAGTTCTTTTTTTTATGTTGAATGTCGACAATTGTTGTCTTTGTTGCAACCACCTATCAATGCAACACCAACAACAACCGTGGTGTCCAACTGATACTATTACAACTCGTCATTACGATCAACGTGATCAACTATAATCTATGTAGCTCATTGCTCATGCAATTTTCAACTATGATCATGCAATTTTCTACTACGGCCTTGGTTGACAACTATTATTATCGCAGCTCCCTACTAGTCTACGTGACTAACCACGACCTATGTGGCTCGCTACTCATGCAACTTCCAACTACGACCTCGGTAACTAACTAATGTTATTGCAGCTCTTAGCCTCCACGACCACTTCAACTTGTGGCTCGTTGCTCATGCATCTTTAAACTACGGTCTTGGCGGCCAATTGATACTATTGCAATTCCCCACTATGGTGAACACAACTAACTATGATCTATGTGGTTCACTACTCATGCAACTTCCAACTATTACCTCAGTGGTCAATCGATACTATTGCAACTCCTCACTACTACCTCCGTGACGAGCGATAACCGATGTGGCTCGCTGCTCATGTAGCTTCCAACTACAGTCTCAATGGACAATTGATGCTATTGCAACTCCCCACGACGACTTGCATGACCAAATATTATCATTATAATCTCCAACTGTAGCCTTGTTGGTCAACTGCTGCCATGAAGCTCCTCACTATGACATTCGTGACTAACTACGACCTATGTGGATCTTTGCTCATGCGGCTTCCAACTACGTCCTTGGTGGCAAACTAATGTTATTGTAGCTCCACACTATGGCCTACTTGACCAACTGTTGTTATTATATTCTCCTATTGTCCAATCCGTTGGCCAACTGATGCCGCCACAATTTGCCGTTACAACCACCTTTTATGGTGGGTTACTGTGTTCGTAGCAATCAACTACAACATTTACATCCCTCTATTGCTATTATTGTCTAGATCATTAAAATTCTCTCTTTCCTTTGTAAGTTGTTGGTTAGGAAGTATTAGAGTACTTACATGGTTTGATCCTTAATTTTGTCATTTTTGATAACAAATCCATAACATACTTCCATTGAGATAGAAATATACCTTTCGTGCTCCTTGATGCCTTAATCCCTAAGAGGTACCTCATGGAATCCAAATCTTTAATGTTGAGCTGATATTAAAGAAAAGATTTTAATGATAAGATTTATTACAGATCACTTTCAGTAATAATAATGTCATTAACATACACCACCAACATAATAATCCCATAAGAAAATTGTTTATACGATACAGTGTGATCACTTTCACTCTTCTGCATCCCAAAATTTTCTACTGCTCGGCTAAATCTTTCAAATCTTGCCCGAGAGTTTTGCTTCAATCCATATAGTGACTTTCGAAGACAGCATGCTTTCCTAGAATTCTCTTGAGCAACAAACCTAGGAGGTTGCTCCATCTATACCTCTTCTAGAAGATCACCATACAGAAAGACATTCTTCACATCAAGCTGGCGCAGGGGCCAATTATTCATTACAGTTAAGGATAGGAAGAAGCGAACCAAAGTTAACTACCAGAGAGAACATGTCCAAGTGGTCAATCCCATAAATTTGAGCATATCTATGAACAACAAACTAAACTTTAAGACATGCTACAGATGTATCAAATTAAAACTATAAAGATCCATTTGCATCCAACAATCTTCTTGCCGAAGGATAATTATACCAGCTCCCAAGTTCCATTTTCAGTGAAGACATTTTTTTCATCAAGCATCATTGTCCGCCACCCAGAATGGGATATGGCTTGCTGAACAGATCCTGGGATTTGAACAAAATCAAGGAGACGTGCTACAAATATCAAGCATACAATGATGAGGCAAACAAAATTTCTTCCTAACGATGTCGAAGCCGAATGATGAGCTTCCTGACATCAGCAAAGCTAACATTCATTTGTTCTATGCCCTAATCCTATTGTCTTCGACAAGTGATTCAAATGAAGCTGATTAACTATCCGGACGACAATTCAAACCACACAGACTACGCTGACGAAACGATTCCAACGACAAAGATGAGGCTTTGATACCATGTAACGGGAAGATTTCATTTCTTCTTATTTCTCAATTGAAATCATATATTACATTTTTCATATACACTCCTATATCTATAGATTAGGAATTTCTCTAATATAGAAAAGATTTTGTATTTAGATCTCCTCTAATTAGGTTACGTAATATTAAGTTTCCAAATATGCAAACATTAGATTTAATACTTTACATAACAGTTAGAAATGTAAATAATAGAGCCAATGGATAGTAGTCATAAACACCCATATCTCCAACAAGTTCATCATTTGGTGGCTCTGAAACATGAGTTTTGGGAGCAAGTGTGTGGCCAATCGCTCTTGGGCTGACTTATGGAGAATACCTTTAATCCCATATAGGATCTAACATTGATTCAAAGTATTGTGTACAAGCTCAATTAGTAGTCGGAATTGTCATGGTTGCATGAGTATTGAGTATATTTTTTGGATGCTCCTCATTCTGCGCTTTATAGGAGAATTGTATTGTTTTAGGTTTTTTTAAAGTCACCGAATAAGTTATGACAAAAAAATTTTGCATGAAGAGCAATTTGAAGGAAGACCTTCAAAATCTACCTTCTGCCAGTTTTCACGGGTAGTGAACTAATCTAAATCTTTTTCTTATAGGATTTAACATCTTTTTGTTAGAACTGGCCATAGACACAATGCATTTATCAATTTTATCAATGTTTATTAGGGTTGCATATATGGTGCCTTTTAAAAAAAAACAAATACCGCTTTAAGGGCCAGTTTGTCCTCATATCTTTTTTACATTCAAATTAAACCAAAATTTTAGCAGAAAACTAAGTGTTAAATTTAGCCATGCATGAAATTGACATGAAAAATGGTTAACTGATGGTGTGATTCATGATTTCTATTGCCTAATCACTTATTATGACTAGCCTTAAATACCTAATTTAGTTGAGCTGACTTGGCTGAATTATTATCCATCATTAATGGCACTGAACCCTCCCTTAGAGAGTTTGCAATGATTATATTTGAGGTAAGCTTTTCAAGCTCTTTAGTTAGCCACAAGTCATTTGGTGGAGGTTGATCTCTTCATCCAATCAAGAACTTGTGCTCTTATCTCTTCCAAAGGTGACCTCATCAGAAATAGTAACATAGACATCAAAGTAGGCTTGCATGATGGGAAAAGTAGACTTAGTGATAACAACTATAGTAAATATCCCTCTCGTGGAAGAATCAATGGGTAATATTTATGATAGGATAATCCCTTGATATGGCATAATATCTTCTATGTTGAGGTTTGGACTTCTAAACCTTTTTGGAGAAGGATTGAGAAACATAAGCATTAGAACTAATCTTTCTTACGCAAAAAGGATTGCAACTTGTGTGCTTCTTCTTAACTAGCTTCACTTTAAGTGTTTATTTTGTATATGAATCATCATACAAGTCACCTTTGTTATGCCCCCGAGCATTTCTTCTAAAATGTTTGGTATTAGAATATTGTTCAATATAGAATTCATTGTGTTTTCTAACTTCACTGTATTAATAATGTATATGTGCAATTATGCAACTAAAATAAAATAATCATATGGTGGTGTTAGGGCAAAGATTATAGGTTGTATAGTTTTGAAACCCTAAATAAACTCAGACAATGTCTTGCCCATTGATTTACATTTAATGCAGTTCATATAAACTCAAAAATAGGTGTTGAAATTCCTAATTTCCTAATATCTTTGCTACCATACATCTTAATAGATTTTCTAGGATTTTATTTATTATTTATTTTTTGCATCAATTTTGGGGTGGAAGGCTTATAAAAATTTAAGGGTAGTACTGTTCAATTTTCATATGGATTTCTAAAAGGATGATATCAGCTTAATATCTACTTGAATGTAATAGCGTTAGACAACTAATGTACCCTTACAGTTTCTCAAGTAAGGCTTCAATACATAAAGAAATTTTGGTAGTCCTGAAACATGAAATAAGTAGACCATTTTTTAGAAGTTTTCATAACAACCAATAGATTATTATAGTCTTATGAAGTCTTAGGTAATCTTATTATAAAAGGCATAGATAAGATTATCTAAACTGTAGGATGAACCTTATATATGCCAACAAGTTGTTTAATAGTTATGTTTATTTAACATGCATACTCTGATTAAGAATTCTAATAGTGTCCCTATCAAACTGCACTAATGGCAAATCAAGTGGAATTCAAACATATTAAATATGCTTCTCAAATTCGAAACTAGGCACATTAATATGCAAAGAAGTTAAAGTTTGAGAAGTTGAGGAAGGGCTTATTGTGAATGACAGGTATATGTTTTAAGACAAATTTATAGTCTTTTAAGGATTAATTCACTTTATGTGGTTATTGATCTTCATCATGTGTATTTATATACCTTAAATCTTGGTGATCATATATGAGTTATGATTTCTTTTTTACAACTAATGTTAATATTTATGAGTGAGGACATAAAATTCTCTATCGTAAAAGGAATATCTTGTCTAGCTTCTTTAACATATCGAAGTTATTGGTGTTTCATATGCCACATCTTTTTATTTTACAGAGCATAACTTCTTACATGAATATTTTGTCTTCCATGACAGGTTTCTTGTCTCTTTTGCTGGAAAGTATCTGGCGTGTGATGCATACCGTGTCATATCTAATGAGAAACTCAGATATTATGGTGTAAATTCGTTGGTTTCTAGCAGTAATTGTGAGTATGAAGTCTTTAGGATAAATATAAAACAGACAACTCCAGACATTTTTGGCCCTGCATTTATTGAGGTTTGTTTTCAATACCTTCTTTTTCCCTTCTTAATTTGTAGTTTTCATCATCATGCTAAATTTATAAATTTCTTATATGCTTGACTATGATGAATTTGAGCTTCATTTACCATTTTGGAAACTATAATAAAACTTCTTTGCAAACTTAATTCCATATTTTTATTTATTAGGGCCAATACTCTCTTTTAACCGTTTTATCCCTTGGATTTTTGATCAACCTTTCATGTTGTAGGTTGAGAACGAATCAGGAATATCCAACTTTATTCCGATTCTTATTGGGGACGAGCAAGTATGTTCTGAACTAAACAAAATGCAAGGTGCATTAACTTTCTATCCAAATGTTCATGAACATAACAGTATATCAAATGCAGTTTTAGCCAATGCAGCAATCAGTGAGATTAATGTGACCATATCAGATCTACTGGTGGATATAGCTTGGCTGCTCAGGGAGCCTTGTAAAGATTATAATGAATCATTACTGGGTTCATTGAATGTTCAGAGATTAAAATATATATTACAGTTTTCGATGCAGAACGAGTTAATCACCGTATTAAAGGCAATACTAAAGTATGTGGGTATTATGATTCATGAGGCTGGTTTTCAGAATTCTGAAAATTTGACCGTCAGTGCTGATTTTGATGAGCTTTTAGAATTCATGAAAACTGCAAAAGAGTTTCTTGATCAGAGAATTCAGCACAAGGAAAGATCAAAATTGGATCATAGGCACTCAAATTTTATGGAAACAGTGCCGATAAACCTTGTGAAAAATACAATGGTTATAATGCCTCCTACAAATCTGGTTAGGGCACAACTCCCGTCTCATTAATTTTTTTATTTAAAATTATTGCATCTTCAGTTATGACTTCATTTTGATTTTTTTTTTCCCCTTGGTATTTTTATCATGAGCATGAAATACTAGATACAGACTAGAATGGATACTACTTAATGAAGAAATTGACAGAATTTATCTTCTTCCAGTTTGAGGATGGAAGAAGAAATTCACATGCTTTGGTTGCAACTGCGACTGTGCATTCTGTAGACAGTGATGAAAACACTTCTCCTGCACCCAAAGATATAAGTTGCAGTAAGATTAGCTTCCTGCGCTTGAATTCCTGTTTGGCTTCCAACCATTGGGCAATCAATATGTTCTCAACACCAATCTCTAGGAGATGGCCTGCTCTATTTGTAATGGGCAGTTTTCTTATGTGCTTTGTTTTTTGTATGATCCTTTTGGGCCCACATAAGGCCACTGATTTTGCAGTTTTTATGGGAAGGTGTTCTCTCCCAAGTTCAAATCTGTAGAGAAGAGCCACATTCATCTTATCTTTACCAACTCCTTTGTATCATTTATTTATCCCGTGATGTGTAGAATATGATTTTTTTTTTTTTAGTATAATATTTATAAAAAAATATATTTAGTTTTATTTTCAGAGCAATGCTTTATGTTTTTCCAGATGCATTTTTCAACGGCATTATTGATATTTGGACATGTTTTGTTTAAATATCTAACACCTAAACTTCAATTTTTATGTGTTTGCCGCCTTATCTATATATTAAAAGATATATTTCACTTTTGAAAGTTATAATGGTGATATTTTAAATGTGAAGTATAAATGTAAAAAGTAAAATTTAGGTGTTAGTAATGTAAATATATAAAAATCGGGTGGTATGTATGTAAATGCCCCTTGTATAAATTATAGAATGCAAGGGTAATGATGAGCTATTTAATTAAAGCATTATCTGGTAATCAAATGGGCACAAGTTAGACTCAAGGCTCGAAGAAGATCCATTTAGAGTCATTACAATTTGTATCGTATCATCTATATAAAGTTACATATCAAGTTGTCTCAAACTCTTACTTGCACTATATCTTGAAATACTTATCGACTCATCTTAAATTGCTTCAAAATTTCAAGTTTTTATAAATTACATCATGAAAAATTTTACCAGAAAATAACACAAAATTATTGTACATAAAGTCCAGATGAATGCAAGGTCATAAGCAAAAACCTAAATTACTTCAAAATAACAATGATACTTGCATACCAAATTAGGAAAGCACATTGACACTGCTATATATAACTGAAAGTAATATTTTCTCGCACGCAAAAGCTCATCCGAGCAAGCTAATAAGAACCAGCATGCTTAAATCGAGGAAAAATATTGCATTAGTCCAGACGCAAGTTACGTCCGAATAACTGATGCGATACACCGATGATAATTTTTTTTTTTTCTCCGCTACGTCCGGGAGGTATCGCATCAGTGTTGTACGGGAAGCAATATCTTTTCCTGAACCGGGTTAGTCAATCATCACATATTGCACAACTCATGTCCTCCTCAAGCTCATGCTTTTCTTCTTCTCCCTCATCGCAAAACGTCTAGCCATTGCCACACTGTAAAACCTCCTCATATGCTCCGAAAGACGATGAATCGCCTGCAGATTTCCAATCTCCGACAACCTCGACATCAAAGAATCAAATTTCTTATACGGCAGCTTCATCCCTCGATCAATCACCTCTTCCACAAGAAAGCACGCTTCTTCCGCTCTCCCACAACCAAACAATCCATCAATCATCACCCCATAACAATCCACAGTGCGCGAGCACCCTCTTTCCTCCATTTCATGCCACATTCCCAAAGCCCGCTCTGAATCCCCAATCTCAAAGAACAATGCTATCAACATACTGTAAGTATGAACACTCGGCTCGCACCCTCCATCCATCATCTTCTCACACAGCTCCATTGCTTCCTCATGCTTCTTCATGGCGCACAACACCTTCAGAAAACAATTATAAGTAAGAATGTCGGGTGGGTAACCTTTCTCACCCATCTCCTCCAATATCTTATAACAAGCTTCGATCTTTCCGGCGAGACACATTCCTTCGATCAAATCAGTGTATGTCGACACGTCGGGAAGACAACCGGAGCCTCTCATCTCGCTTAGAAGATTGAAGCATTCATCCATCATATCGTACTTTGCAAGGGCGATGATCATGACGGAGTAAGTCTTGGCCGTCGGCGATGATATCGTCGAACCTTTGGTTCTCATGAACTCGAACAGCTCCCTCGCCTCGTTGATCATACCGGAGCTGCAGAAGGAGGTGATTGCGGCATTGTATGTAAAGCTTTCAGGATTATGACCTTTGTCGATCATTTGTGAGAGAATCTTCATGGCTTTGTTGGGATCTCGAACTCTGCACCACCCGAAGAACAGAATATTGTAAGTTTCAGCGGTGGGGATGATCTTATGGTTTAGTCGAAGGAAGATTGATTCGGCTTCGATGACCATGCTGCATTTGCAGAGTGAATCAAGCAAGAGGTTTAAGGAATGGAGTTCTGGCTGAATCTTTGGTTTGAGTCTCTTCTTTCTAGCGAACTTGTCAATGTGTGTTAGCTTCTTCACGCTATATGTCTTCAAGATTGAGATCAGAGCATCAACTGGAACTGAATTCTTTTTCTTCCGCTTCATATAGTCCAAAATGTCACAGATTACACCAAATTGCTTCGCTTTAAACGCTGTGCTCGATAAGATCTCAATCATGTCGTTGAAGGTTTGGGGATCGTGAGTGTACCCATCCTGATGCCCGGCCCAGGTGAAGAACCTGAAAGCTAGTTTTTCTTCATAACGAAGCTTGTGTATAACCTGGTTTACGAGCTCAGTGGTGAGTTCCAGACTGAGGGCATCAAGGCGGCTCTCCAAGCTTTGATCGCAGGTATAATTAGAGATAATGGTTTCATAAACCTGATCTGATATGGAAACTGATGCATTTTCACAAACATTATTCGAGAAAATGCGGGGATTAGAATGAGAAGATGATGAACATAAGTTCTTGACTGAAAAGAGATAAAAGGGCAAATTTACTGTACTTTTATAATGGGTTGATGAGGAAGACGATCCAGGAGATGTTATCTCTCTAGTACTAGAATGTGGAAGTAATAGATTCCATATCGAAGAGATGTTTTTAGATGAAATCCGAATTATTTGAGAGCGCAGATTAATCAGAAGATTGAATGGCGGCGGATAGCGGAGCATGAGATGCGGGATTAGGGGAAAAAAGATGTAAAAAGTTCTATGAGTGAAAACCCTAGAATTAAAGCGAGAGTGTGATGGTATACTTACGCCGAACAGATTGGGCGCGAGAAATGCATTGTTGGTCTGTAAAATTAGGGTTTAGGGCTGGCGGAGAAGAAGACCACAAGCATTTAGCTGGGATTGTAGAGCTGCAGATTCTTCCAATAACTTTATTTATTTATTGAACAGTTTAAATTCAAGATTTAAAACAAAATTGAGAAGAAAATTAAGAAAAAAACCGAGGAGGATGGCAGAGAGAGAGAGGATCCCCGGGAAGCTGTTTTCGCAGCTTTGCCCTCAAAAACCGAGAAGGATGGCAGCTTCGCGTGAGGGAGTCCGCTGGACTGAGGGGCTTCCAGCGTGAGGGAGGAAGGGAGGTGGGAGTTGGCATCAGGGATGCCGGCGCGGGATCGCCGGTGGGATTGCCGGGGTGGATCCTGGCCAAGAGGCGGCTTGATGGTTTCGGTCCGGCGGGTAGGAGGCGATGCGGCGCCGGTTCGGGAGAAAAGGCCGGCAACGTCGCCGGCGGCGGGCTCGGGGTGCGGTCGCGCGGGCTAGGGAGGAGTGGCTAGGGCCGGCTTTGCGTGAAATGGGGAGGGCTATCCCTTGCGTTTGCTGTGAGTTCTTTTTCATCTCTATTTTTTTGAATATTATTATTACTATTATTATATTTTTAAAATTTTAAAATGTCTCGATTCACGTGTTATTTGGCCCACACATAAAACACTCATAATATGTGTCTGTCATGGGCAAAATCGACGTTTCAGATGTGCTCACGCATCCCGTTTCAGATAATCTGGATAAATTCATTGATGATCGAGTCAGCTTGAGTCTAATTCGCGCGCGAAGTGTATTTTTTGGTGGTCTGCATCACAGGAACATATGTATCACTAAGATATAGCCCCATGACACAAAAAACAGACTTCAAACATGAATGACATAAAAAATTGATGCCAAGAAGACTCCCAAACTAATTTTTCCCGTTTCAAGATCAAGAAGCAGAAAAAATGGGCTCCCAAACGGACCCTAAATCTGAATTCTGTAAATCATATTTTTTTCCCTCGATTTTCTTCTCAATTTTACCTTAAATCTTGAATTTAAATTGTTCAATAAACATATAAAGTTATGGTAAGAACTACAGCTCTACAATCCCAGCTAAACACTTGTAGTCTTCTTCTCCACCAGCCCTAAACCCTGATTACCGACCAACAATATATTTCTCCAGCTTCACCTTTGTCGTGCCCAATCTGTTTCGCATAGGAATACTATCACACTCTCGCTTTAATTCTAAGGTTGTTATGATGACTCTTAGTTATGTGAACTAAGACAATGTCGCAGCTTATAAGGAGGTTTCAATAGCTAAAGGAGATAACGGTCATTTGGCTATGACAGGTGTTGAATCGGTCAACGTGAGAAGAGTCATTTTCTATATATATATAATGATGTATGTGAATTGAGAGAGTTAAGGGGTGAAAATCTGAGATCAAAGAGAGGAACCGAGAAAGCTTGTACCGAGTGGAAGATCGAAAGAGAGTTTGGAAACATGATTCATCTCTGGGAATGAGCGGTGTAATCGTTATGATTGTCTTAGTGAATTTGTTTCTTGATTCCCTCCCGTGAATGTAAGTATTTTGGACCGAACCACATAATCTTAGTGTTCTTGATTGCATTTTTCTTTTAGTTCCTTTTCTCGTTTGTTGTCCTATAGGTTTTCTAGAGCAGATTCTTTTAGTTCCTTTTAGATTTTGTTTTCTCTTATTGTATTGTTGTTTTATATGTCAAATAATATTGATTCATTTCTTTTTTTTTTCTTAGATATCGGATGGGTAAGTAAAAAGAGTGTGGGATAACTGATATTTGGGATACGAATATGAAGATGATATTTTTGTGATTTATGCTTGAGGGAGGTAGAAAAAAATGTAATAGAACAACCACACATTTTAATAAAGAAGGTTGGTGAAATATAACACTTTCAAGAAAAAAAATGGTAGGGTGTACGACAAAACTCAACTGAATAACAAATATGATCAACTTAAGAAGGATAAGAAGTTGTAGGAGCTAAAGAGAGGGGCTACTGGTTTAGGATTGATCCTATTAGAAAAACAGTTGATACACCAGAGAAGTGATGGCAAGAGAAAATTTCAATAAGTAGGAAATCTTACATTCAATGTTTGTTCATCAAAGCTCCTGAAAAACTGCTTTTCCAAGAAGCAACTTTACGGCAGCTTCTTGAAAAAGTGTCAACTTTTATTGTTTAGCATAATTTACGATAAATTTTTCTCTTTTTTTCTTTTTTTTTTTGAGGCACATAAGAAAATACTCCACCACGAGATTATCATCCCATCCATAATTAAATTTCACTTGAATTTGTTATAAAACAACACTTAACTTGTGTTAATAAATCACATATATCTACTCTAATGGTAAATCACCAAACTTTTTTAATTCTTATAAATTCTCTTTCAACCATACAAAAGTTAGTTTAGAGTAATTTTCTTTCTAATTTTTTAAGTAATTGATCTAATTTAAATGTTGAGTATTTAATGAATAAACAAAAACAATAACTACCGACTTTTATATTAATGTTTCAAAATAAAACACATTATTTTATTTTATATATATATACATATTAAAAAAAAAAGATTGGCCAGAGACTATTTTTCAACCTTATACGTCTAAGAATTTCATTTTGCACATAAGTGAAATCAAACCCCTGATCTCAAAATTCTTACAAACTCTGCTAACCAAAAAATCACAATATGCAACACAAATATATACTGTAGTTATTATAAAATAACCATCCATACATAGGACGAGAAAATTCGCCTTTCAGTAACAAATTTATGTTCAAACTCATTTAGTTTATTTATTTACTTTTAATAAAAAATAAGCTATAATACAATTTCCATTAAACCAAACAAAAATATAGGCAATGTTAAATTCTTGAAATTAAAATATTTTGTTCTGACAATCAATCATCTAGACAAGAACTAAGCTAGCAACACAATTTCATATAAAATAAACATAATGCAGTACAACTTAGTCCAAAAAACTCTAAACTTCAACCACTTTCAAATACCACTACAAACAACATAGCTCTTCTTAGCAGGAATCAATGCCAACAGCAATAGAGTAGCTCACACAGGTAATGTAAAAGAAAAGCCTTGGAAGATTTACATACATACCACTTAATTCGAATGTATTTGCATATCTACCACCTAAACTTAAATTTTTACGCGCTTGCCACCCTACCTATGCATGAAAAAGTGTATTTCACTTTTTAAAAATTAAAATAGATGCATGCTTTATATGATATGAAAGAATTAGGTGGTGTAAAATGAAAAAAAAAACAAAAAAGTAAACTTTAGGCATTATACATGTAAATACATAGAAATTGGGTGGCATGTATGTAAATGCTCCGAAACAAATAAATATAAATGAATATAAACATACAAAACTTATGAATAATTCTCTACAAATTTACTCGATTCATGGCTAAGACATAGTGCCAACCTTTACAAGAAAAAAAAAATATAATGAAACAGCTTCAATACATTGTGATTTTACATGGTGCAATATGCAGAGTTGAGAGGGCCTAAAGACAAAAGTAAGATGAGATATTCTGTCAAAGAGTTGCCCTAAGAAACTGCACAATAAAATAGAAGACAGCTAATACCAAAGCAATCTGATAAGCATCTCTTTGTAACCCATCGTCCCTTTGAAAAAACTGGAACATCAACAAAAATAACACGTCTTTATTTATAACCCAATATATTGAATTTGATATTTTAACCACCCAAACTTTAAATATAAGATTTTAATCACCCAAAATTTTCACTAACAGCTTTCACTAGTGTGTAAAGGAGGGTGGTTGTAATAAAAAAATGATTAAAATATTATATTTAAAGTTTAGGTGATTAAAATGTTATATTCAATATTTTAGATGGTTGGTACTAGGGTTGTAAACGAGCCGAGCATGAGCGAGCTCAGGCTGGGCTCGTGCTCGAAATTGGCTCGTGAACAGTGTGTTCGTGTTAGGCTCGATTTAAATATTCGTGTTCGTGTTCGGCTCGTGTTCAGCTCGAAATTGGCTCGAAAAAATTAAATATAATATATATATTAATATACTACATTAGTAATATACTAATATAGATATTGTATATTTATATAATATATATTATATAAATAATATAATATATTATTATATAAAAAATTTTTTTAATTTCGAGCTAAAACGAGTCGAACACGAGCGAACAAATAGTTGTTCGTGTTCGGCTCATTTATAATTCGAGCTTTAAATACTTGTTCGTGTTCGACTCGTTTACTTAACGAACGAGCCGAACCCGAGCTACTTAACGAGCCGAACACGAGTTGTTCGCGAACAAAAAGCTTTTTTGACAGCCCTAGTTGGTACGTAAAAATCTCTTTAGAACAAGTTAATTCAACATTAGAAACTTAAGAAAAACTAGAAGCAATTGGCTTTTTTAATTGTCATTCTTAAAATTAAAAGCCTCTAATTGACATCCAACTCTTCCATAGGAATGTGCGACATTTTTCAATCAATTATGTTTGGGCAATTCCTATGTAATTACATATCTAACACCTAAAATTTACTTTTTTACATTTATACCAGAAAAATCTTTCAAATCACAATAAAATAACCACTACTTTAAAATTAAAAAGGTAAAATACAACTTTTTATGCATAGATATGGTGGTATATATAAAACAGAATAATGTTTAGGTGTTAGATTTATAAATACACAGGCATTGAGTGGTGCGCACTCTACATACTTACCACTCAAATCCTATGTATTTACATACTAACATCTAAGCTGCAACTTTTGCATACATGCCACCCTACCTATGCATGAAAAGGAGTATTTCACATTTTAAAAATTAAAATGGTAGTATTTTTTATGTGATAGGAAATATTTGAGTGGCATGGAAGTAAAATGTATAATTTAGGTGCTATATACATATATGTAAATACATATGAATTGAGTGGAAGTTATGTAAATGCCCCGATTATAACATGGCGGTGCATCAAAGAGCTCATCAAATAAAACAATGATTTGGAAAACTTGAAAGCAAAAGAAAAAGCCAACCTTTGTTGGGTCCCCAGATAAGTCTGGAAAACTGTTCTCCTTTTCTGAAGAGATTCCAGCCGACATGCTCTTAACAGCATCAATTGTATCTTTCCCTGCTTCAATGGTAGAGAAAAGCCTCCTCGAAATCCAAAAGTAACTCCGACCGACCACTGACGATGCAGACAAATCCCAAAATTCATCATGCTCGATCACTTGACCACTTATTTGGTTCAATGTAAATCTTGAATTTATATAGAGAACCAAATCTCCCCCAAGAGCTGCAAATAAAGGATTCTTAGGCCTTCCTTTTAATAGCCATTTGATGCTCAGTTCACTGGTTGACAACATCTGCATCTCCTGAACTGTCTGACACAATCACCACATTGGACTGTAAGAGAAACGAATAGCTCACAATAATTTCATAAAATCAGCATTTACATCAATGAATCTATAAGTTGTACGTTAAAACCAATTGTCTGCTTAATATTTTTAGGAAGAAAATCAGAAATGCATATATGCCACTCAATTCTTATGTATTTACATATCTAGCACCTAAGTTTCCATTTTTTAAATTTATGCCACCTTATCTATGCACGAAAAGGTGTACTTCACTTTTTAAAAGTTAAAATAGTGATATTATATCCAATGTGAAAGAATTGTGAGGTATAAATGTTAAAAAGTAAAATTTAGGTGTTAGAAATGTAAATACATAAGAATTGGGTTGTATGTATGTAAAGGCCCCATGTTTACACATTTGGCTACATTGCCAGCAGCATTACAAAGGGGGACTCTCAAGACCACCAAACACTGAATACCATGTTACCCACCACCCAAAATTAATAATGTGCAGCTTGTCCATATGATATGTTAATCATTATTGTGGAAATCTAAGATGATCTAGTTTTCTCTCTTTGTTCAACATGTGGGCTGGCCACTAGATACCAAAATAAGGAAGATTTGAGAGGTGTTAACTTAAGAAACTCTTGATTAGTATTTCCAATTATTTACTGCCCTAATTTAGGGTAGATATATTTGGTAGGCGATGTGGGCGCATGAATAACACCACGGCCGTGGTGTAGCGGGAGCCGCGGGCTTCTCCCGCGATGTCCTGCATCTGCATCGAACCGCTCCAGACTCAAAAGCGTCAATCAGCTCTCTACGGATTGGAGCCTCCTTTCCATAGGGGGATCCAATCCTAATTATCTATGGCTAATAGTGATTCATATTTTTAGGTATTCAGTTTTTGGTGTGAGTTTGTGTATCACAACCGCCGGTATCCGTTTCTCCCTTCGATGACTATATCCTAAGGAATTGGTGGTGTCAGCTCTATATCTCTCTCGAGGTGGTGATTACCTTCCCACATCCCCTTCCGCATCCTCTCACATCCTCTTGATTGCCCTTTCCCTGTTGTAGCCGCACGGAACAACCTCTTTTGACCGTTTTCTGCAGTTTGTGTTTTCCAGCAACCTTCCCCATCCGTGGCTACTGTTCCAGCAGCTCATATCAAGTTCCCTTGCCACCCCGCTGCTGTTCCGGCTATGATAAGCGCCCCTCTGCAGCCATGGCTACTGTTCCATCCATTCCGAATCACTTCGCCGCCACCTAGCCATTGTCCCAACCTCTCCCACATGCTGCCATCGTTGTTCCAGTCCTCCATACCCGCTGCGATCCTAGCTCTTCGTCTTCGCTACCACTGCTGCTCTAGCCCTCCCCCTTTGCTGCCATTATCCCGGACAGACATGCAACGTCGATAACTGCTGCGTACTTACTGTCTGGAACCTAGAAAAATTGTTATCTTGTTGTTTTCAACTTGCCAACAACCTTCCACCCCTCAACAATCACCACCACCAACCCGAGATCCACCCTAATTTGTGTTGGATTGTTGAGTTTGTTATTATTTTCCTTTTAAGTAAGTTATAATTGCCTAATGGCTTTAATAGTAATATTATTTGTTTGCCTATTGTGGTTTGAGTTAACTCTGATATCATTTGGTATCAGAACTAGCCAAACCCGAGTCATACCCTATAGTTTCTTGCCTTCATAAGCATCTCCACTCCAAAAATTTTCTTTATTATCCTCAAACACGCGCTTCTATTCCCTTAAACCCAAATCCTATCCATGTCACCGAGGGGGACAATAACCAGAAGTCATATCGAGGGGAAAAAACACACTGCCTTTTATGAGAAATCCACAAAGCGGTGCCTAGTAGATTTCTATCAAGGATATGACATGGGAACATCACACCTCCTTTCAAGGGAAAATGAGGGAGTCGAAGATTGAAAAACGAAATGAGCTGTCAGGAGCCAAAAGTGGAGATTCCCTCTATAAATTGACGCGTATGAAGGTTAGTAGAGGCAAGATCAGAGGTTTTGCAGAACGACTCCTCTGAGGTCGATCGTCGAACAGAGGAAGCGAGATGCTCGGGCTCAACGAGGGCAATGAAGCATGCGATTGAAGCCAAAGAAAGAATCGTTGTCGAGGAGGCGGGAGCAACAATATGGGAAAAATGAACCCGAATACGATTGCGGTCTCCTGCGCAAGGTCAAAGTAGTGGAAGAGAAAGGAGGGGAAGCTACGCCTGTGAGGGATATGGCAAGCGACCTAGAGAATTAGGCTGAGTGCTAGATTTTAAAAATATATACTTTTTTTTTTTTTTTGAGAAAGCTCAAAAGCTAATATATTAAAATGAAATAAGGATACATATAGATTGTGTGAAAGGGCCCAAAAATGACACCCTTCCCCCACGATAACCACCACATACAAATGGTTCCAAAAAAAGATAAAACACAGAAAATTACAAGAGACCTAAAGAAAAAAAAACAAAAAATGCCAAAAAAATGTAGTACAGGTAGCTAGAGATCGACACTCTATTTTGTTTTTCCTCTACCTCTAGTTTTAGGAAAGGAGTCAGCTAATAAATTGGTAAGATAAGTGTCATTGTCAGTAGCGACCAAAGTATCATCCAATAAGTTTTCAAGCTCGAGTCGGCCTCCAGTCTTTTTCTTCCTACTGGAATAGACCTGTCATTCCTCATCCGAAGATTGACCCGCCTAATCAGTGGATTGGTCTAAAGTGTATCGGACATGTGCAGGATGTTGAACATTAGAAATAACTGTTTGTTGTACCAGCTGATCTTTGGTTGAATTAAAGAAGCACTCTCGTGTGTATTGGCATGTAAGTGAGTCTTCTTCAATAACAGTGAGTGGTATAAACACTTTTAGATCTGTACTTGTAGTATTATGTTCTTCATCAGAAACTGCGATGTTAGGTAGAGGATTGGTTTGCACATTCTCAGCAGTGATGGTAAGTGGTTGATCTTTAGCAATATCCAAAATCTGTCATGTGGTAGCTTTCTCTCCAGATAGAACAAATATTTCTAGAGTAGTGGGATTAGATCCATCATTATTCACTTGATTTTTAAATTTCAAATTATGATGAAACTTATGACATTTATCAAGTGTATGCCCAAACATCTTACAATGAGAATAGTAAGGCGGTCTATGCTTCATGACGATTTGTTGTCAATATCCATTATGAGTTGTGCCCAACCAGATTTCAGTAACATCAAGTAAAGTAATCTCTTTCTAGAAGTATTATGGCCACAGAAGATCTGGTTGGGTTGAAAGTCGGTAGATCTAGTTTTATAGGGTCCCCAAGTATGACCCCAATAGAGTAAAGAACCTGATAATGATAAAAATGCAGCTTGAGATCTAGTAGACTGAACCATACAGGTACAGTAGGAGGTTCATGATTAGAGTCAAAATCAGGAGACCACTTGAGTAGCTTCATTGATTTACCAGCAATGCTGAGGTACTTTTTGGAGAAAATCAGAGTGTAGTTTTCAGTCACGGTTAATTGAATCAATACATGTCTCTCATTCATGAGCCTCACTTTCTACTTTCCTGCTAATTTGAGCTCATTAAAACTTTTCCTGATAACTTCTGTAGGTGGGTGCCCCCACTGAAATTTTTCAATAAGAGCAAACTTGAATTTGTCAATCATTGTTGAAATTTTTAACTTCGAGAAAAAGAATGATGTTTTCCCAATTTTCCTGCTTGTATTCTTAATAAATGAGCAGTCACTTGTACCATCATGATATTCCTTATAACTTAAGAGAAAGACAACCGTCGTCTCCACCTGAGAATTTGTCAAGTTCAACCGAAGAAGAAGGAAACTCCATCACAATAATTAGAAGCCCTGCCAAGTCGGTCAAATCGCAAGAATGACGAGCCGGAGACGGTCAGGAACCGATGAGACCAAACACTCGGTGTTGTCAAGCTGAGTCGAGAAGAAGACGAAGGAGGAAGACGAGCACGCGACCCCTTCTCGCCTTCCGTGAGATGTGAATTCGCGAAATCGAACAGATACGACTATGTTGGTTTTGAATGTCGCAAACGCGAGCCGCAGTCGACTTCGAAGCAGCGCAAGCCGACGACGACGGAGAGGACGGAGAGATGACACCGGAGAAGATCTTATGCGATAAGGGTTGCTAGGGCTCGACATGGGTCGAAACCCTAACAGAGTCGAGCATGGGAGACAAGATTGTCTTTATATATATATATATATATATATATATATATATATATAAATTGTGAGTGTGTGTTATTAATTAATGTTAACAGAAAATTTTATTGAATTAGGGCTCATGGTACAAAATTTCGACTTGAATGGGAGCAAAAGTAGAAGTGCACGAATTAAATGAGGGAGATTGATCCGAGCAAACTCCGATAAGGTAAATTAAGGTTTATATTATAATTTAATTAACAAAAAATATATATATATATATTGAATAGTAAAAAAAAATTAATGAGGGTTACATAAATAAAACAATGAGTATTAATACTTAAATAATATAAAGTTAATAGTTAATTAAAATAAAACAAATAAATAAATTTTAGTAATATGAATACCCATATTTATTATAGACATCAATTTTAGAAGAATCAAGATCAAAGCAACTAAAAGGAAAAAAAAAATTGTTATCAAGGTGAGCACTACTCTTAAATTATAATATCATTTTTGTATCTCTTCTGAACCACTTGTATGAATTATTATTCATGCTTGAATAATAAAATTGATTCATCAATTCTTAAATTTTATCAGTCATTTCATTATGAATACTTGTAGTCTCATATTATTAAATAGTTTATGCATTATAGTCAAATATTGCATAATGAGTGATAGAAAACTATGAATAATATTAGATTGATTATATATATATGTTTGAATATGATGAAATCACTCATTTAAGATATTAACAGGGAAAATGTTAAGACACGTACACGTAAATGAAAAAAAAAATTATTATTGAAACATTTTCACTGATACAAATTTTAGATGATGCATCTATGACGGTTGTACATATA